AAAACAAACATTATCCACGCTATCTCTTATGGGGATAGTGTTTGTTTTGCCTATAGTAATTGGTTTTTTGTTATAGGGTTATCCTCTAGCCTTATGGAGAATTTAGCGTGATTCGTTGATAGATTGATTGATTTGTAAAGTTTGTAGATGGGCAGCACCTCCTCGGTGCCGTTAGTAATAAAATTCATACTTTATATTTCAAAAAAAAAAATACAGAACCGAAGTTGGACCTACGCTTATGAATATGTACTAACTCAATTGATGCGGCCCATAGACAAATGGAAAATATTGAAAGGTGGACAGATGTGACAAGAAGCCTCTCCCCCTTTACTTTGTGCCACATCATTTGGGGACCAGGAACAAAAAAAGGAAAAGGCTAAGACAACACTAATCCAAAATGTAGGACCAAGGAATAAATATCTGGGCCTTGCTGGAGTCTAACCTATGATTTTCATGTCGTCTTCCTAAAAATTTTTATGTTGATTCCAAGAAAAAGTTAAATAAATACTCATTCAGACAAAGCCAGCTGTACTTACATATAGTTCCAAGTAGAGTATTATCTGCATACAAAAAACAACAAAAGCAGAAATGAGATAAGTTACAGTCAAATATCAATAATGCTTGAAAAAACTTTTGACATAGAGAAAAAGAAACTAATCAAATAGACTTACTGAGACAATGATTCGGCCTGTTGTGCCAAACGCAGCTTGGCCCAATGTCAGGGTAAGTCTCAAGACCAGGCTCACTATCCAGGCAGTAACGCAAGAGCATTCCAGTGTAAAAGAAAGCACTGCAAACATCAATAAAACCAGAAGACCTATCCATCCTCCTTCCTTTGCAGCATACGGTGTGGAAAGAATTCCAACTCCACATAAAACATTCATTCCTGCACAAATCCGGATTAAAAATAGAATTTTGAAAATTTGTAGTTTCTGGATAAACTAATGTTAAACTGTAATTTAATTTACAAGTCAAAACATCTCCTATACACATAATAATCTTGCTAGTTACTTGATTCTTTCATGTGCACCATGTGCAGAGGGGAATACGATATAACAGCATAGGTCACAGGACATGTAGGAATTGTTTGTTTTTTCATCCATAACAAACACACAAACAAAGACAGTAAGGCAGATCTTTAAGAAAAATATTATCTTTCTTGATTAAGCTATGAATTTCTCTGTCCTTTGAAAGCAATTTTGGTTTTTTTGCAGATCACAGATGATACTGTAATCATCAAACCTAGGCACTGTTACATGTGAGTCACATTAGTTAAACCAAGGAAAATATGAAACATGAGGTGCATATAAAATCTGAAGTCTATTCAAAGCTTGCCCACCAATGATGGTGCTAGGTGCTTCATGTAATTTGACCTTTTAGCCAGGATAAGCAAGCAAATTTGGCATTCTATGATTGGCAGAAATGCCCTCTTGAAGCTGATGGGTCGATATAAAATTATGACACATGGTGGTGGTAATCTGTGGTTGGCAAGTGGCAGGAAACAGGAAACTGACAAATTGGACTGTAGTTAAATAATTGTCAATAATGAAGCAATCTAAATGAAGAATTTGAAAAGCAAGCACACTAGGAAACTTGGAATACGTGGTGGACACCTATCCACATAAGAGGGACAAGAATGTAAGAGTGGTATTCTCTAATTAACTCAAGGTATTTTTCTCGAAAGAGAATCTATAGACGCTAAGAAAAAGCTTCAAAGAGTGATTAGGTACATTCTTTTGAAGAGAATTTAACCTGGAGGTACAAAATATATTGGGTAGCTGCTGAATGATGCATGATGTAGAGCTAAGCACAGACTAGTAAATAGAGCTGATGAGCAAGTGTGTGCAACTAACCATTTAAGAAAGCCTGACCAAATGAGCTATTGCGAGAAATTGGGAGTTCATGGGAGATCATTGACAGTTTCTCATCCTTCCTCATGGAAGCCCTCCTTGATGGAATAGGAGGAAGCAAAGATTGGGAACTGCGTCTGTGCTGTGGTGGTTTCTCATCTGCAGTTGCTGGTATCAGAGGCTTTGTTATAGAAGACAATGACTCCGGAGTATGTCTTCTCGTTAATGATGAGGAAAGAAAAGAACTGCCAAATCTTGACAATGAAGGAGTGCCCAGGAAACCAATGCTTGGAGATGGTACACTACTGTACAGATCAATCGACTGCCTGAAATAGGAACAAAAATGATAAGCATCTTAAACTTTTTACAAAAGTATAGCAACCATAAAATTGTTGTCTGAAGAAATCCTGCAGGATACCAGCATCAACCATTTATTCCAAGAAATGACATTTTTCCTATTTTGCTTCCAATTTCATACCATCCTCCTCCACTAAATGTACAAAACTGCTGTTTTTTTAGACTGTCTATCATTCAAACCTCCACAAGGCAGAAAAATTATCAACAAACTGTCGTTACAAAATCTGGGTGGAAGCAAGTAGAAACTTCCTTGAAGAGCTATTATATAACATCAACACCCTATGTCCGATCAGTTTAGAAAGTGAACAAAATATTTCTACTAGTTGGGGCCTGCACAAGAGACAGACCTCCACCATTACTAACATAATCAACAGAAGAATTCAATAGTGGAGTTGTACCGGGAATACTAGCATGATTCTTAAACATGGAATGGGAGACACATCACTAAAGAAAATTATATCAATCGTCTTTGAAATTTTTCTTAGAAAACTGATTAAAGAAATATGAATTCCCTTTCTGCAGCTAGAGTAGAAAAAAAAATTTGGGATTTTGGCTATTGCACAACCAATTTCAGCCAAAGAGGACGAGATGATGGAAATATATAATTAATATACCCAGTGTGGTATTTGTATAGATAAACATATACACAATTGTAGTATATAGACATCTACAGGGAGCTAGATATAGATAGAGGACCTGTAACTTTGAGGCCAAGCTGTGGTATAAGAACTAGGTCTGTTATTCTGTTGGTTTTCCTCTGAAGAATCAGAAGAATCAGATTGAGTTCCATCATCTTCACCATCAAAACCCTTCTCCTCATCTTCTTCTTCGCTCTCAATGTAGAAGCTCTGGTCAGATACCGAGTTCTTCATTGTCCCTTCCTGCAAAACCCAATCCAACAATACGCCCCCACAAATTTTGTATGAGTTAATTCATAATCTCAAGTTACAGCAAAAAAAAAAAAATTAGGGCCAAGGATAGAATACATACCTTGATAAGATGGATTTAAATCTTTTCTGAGATTAACTGGTTTTCCCAGATTCTCTTTCAATTGAATCACCTAAATCTTGAAAGATTACAAGAGAAGAAAACGATTTGAGTTAATCACGTCAAATAGTATTAAAAAAAAAGGCTAGCTTAAAATAGAGAGAAATCTGAATAAATATTCTAAAAATGGTAATCTACATGGCTGCCAAATATGTTCATAAGGTTTTTACATATATACATAAATTTAATCTGAATAAACGTTAATATCGGCATCACCAAAATATAGAATATAGCCAAACAGACCAAAAAAGAAAACGAAAAGAAAACCCAGTGAGTATAAGATCTCATGTTCTCTAGGGACTAAATTTAAAATTCTACAAAATGGGATTTTCCATTCATGCTTTGTTTGGTTGCTGAGAAAAGAGTACGAGAGAAAAAACAAGCAGAAAAATTCGTTCTTGGCGGCCGAAAAACTACGCCATTGATAACCAAAAGATACACAAAAAATAGGACTCAGTTTTCGCGGCAACCAATCAGAAAGCGCATAGAAATACACGCGAACAGAGATGTAAAACCTCACACAAAAACACGCAGACAGAGACATAAAAGATGAAAAAAACATGAATTACGTTTTTAAGTCAGAGACCTACATGATTTAGAATATCTCCCTTCCCCTGTTTTCTTTCACCTTGGCGTTTCTCGAGAACCGAACTGAAAGACTTCAGATTAAAGATCCAGCTAAGAAAGAGACCCCAGAAAGTGTCTGCAAAAACCCACTGATAAGAACAAGAAGAAGAGAGAGAGAGAGAGAGAGAGAGAGAGAGAGAGAGAGAGAGAGAGAGAGAGAGAGGGAGAGAGAGAGAGATAGAGAGTCGTGGTTTACGGGCATTTCAGTTAAGGCTATATAAATATGCAGGAAGCATATACAGTAACTACCCGCTGTTTAGGGAAGGTGACGAAGACGATGAAAACAGAAAGTAACTTTTCACTGTATAAAGCTGTGATTTTGCAGTGTAGTCCAAACAGTTTCCTATTTCCTCCAAACACAAACTTCGTCGTTACATGACGTCATAAATCCACTCTGATCCCCAATAAATGCTTAACATTTATATTTAAATAATAATAATAATTTTAAGTGGTAGTCTGTAAGCCTATAAAGATTATAAATAATATAAACATATTTAATTTTACTTGGCAATTAATATAATATTTAATTTATTAATCTTTAAAAATATTAAATTTATATAATTATAAATAATGTTATTTAATTGAATATTGTCTGATATTCTATTTATTAATTTATATAATAATTACAGCAATAAATATATATATATATACCATATATAGTTTTGTTCTTCATGTGAACATTTACATTCCATGTAACTATATTTTTTATTTTTTATTTTTTATCTCTATAATTATTGTATTAACAACATTATATTCACTATAATTAATTAATTTAATTATGAATTAAAAAAATATTATTGAAAACCCATCAAATTTTATGAATTAAATATAAAAATTAAATAATATTAAATATTAAAATTTGAAAACTAATTTAATAATTTTAATTTTAAAAAATATTTTTTTCAATCGGATCTGTGACTGTCAATCACATTGGGGAACGTGTTTCATACTGTCGTTTTTGAATCGCCACTTCACATAATTAATAAGCACAAAATAATTAATTCATAAAATTATTAAATAAAAACAATACTAATCATATATATATATTAATTATTTGAATAATATGTTACTTATATACCATAAGTGTATTTATATTCATTGAATTATATATAATTAAAACATAATTTTCTATTACGTTAATTTTAAAAATTCTTAATTATAGCAATCTCTATATGTGCATATATATATATATGTATGTATGTATGTTTATATATATATATAAGATTATATGGCAATGTATGATTTTTTCTAATGTGACCCCATAAAAAGTTCACACTATTTTTTTAGATTATTATTGGTGACATTTGATGTTGATTGTAAGACAGAAGTGTCGAGACACTTGTAGAATTTTATATTAGAAATAAATTTTAATTAATTAATTAAGCCCACTAGTATATATATATATATATATATATAATATATGTTGCTTACCTTAAATTGCATTATTTAATTAAACCTTAATATATTTTTTTTATCTTAAAGGTAAAATTTAAAACTATATATTAATAATAAATTAAATTGTAACTACATATTTCAAACATCCCATGTCTAGTGTGTCTAATATTGTACTATAATATATAGTATTGTTCTATACATTATCTATCTGTATATGTCATGGGAATCAATCATGTATTTCAATTTGATCAAATTAACAACTGTACTATACTTAATACCATGTGTGTGTGTGTATATATATATATATATATATATATATGTACATGTATATAGTTGTTATATCATATTATATAATTAAATTCAGATTTGGTGCACATCAATTTCCTCGAGCTTATCTCCACGTCACACCTTGTAGGATTTAATTAATTTATCTTTTAAAGTTTTTAAAATTGGAATATAATTACTTTTAATTTTATATAAAATTCATTTTTAATAAATTTTTTTACAATTTTAATATAGAAATTTATAAATAAATTATTTAATTCTAAAAATAGCCTAGAAATTCCACATATTTTTTTAAATATTAATTAGTAATAAAATATAATTGTTATAAATATATTTTTCTCAACCCAAAAAAAAATTAAAAATTAAATGGGAGAACTTGAATTTTATATGTAATTATAATTAAATTTATTAATTTAAAAAATAATAATTTAACCATATTTTCCAAAAAAATTATAATAATTAAATCCAATAAAGTATTTTATTTTTAGAGTATTAAATTCCACCATCATGGCGGCTATTAAATATAAGACAATGCTGTCATTGAAAACCATAATTAGAAAGAAAACAAAGGAAGGAGACAATACCACAAATTTGCTTGTTAAAAAGTTCTTTCTTTGTGTGTGTATATGTGTATATATATATATATATATATGTATGTATGTATGTATGTATGTATGTATGTGTATGAGATCATGGAAGTAACCCACCAAAGAAGTCTACAATAAACACACCAATCAAGCATAAAATATTGAGAAATAAAGCACATACTTATAATTGACATGTTGAATCTAAGATAACATGGAGATTACAT